TCTACGCGTAAAATATAATACTCTACGTTTACGTGTAGACAACGTAAACTATTGTAAAAGTGTCATCTATGTAGACAGTCAAGCTATATATTTATTCATTTAATAAATAGGTACATATAATTTAACATTTATGTAAAAAAAACTACCATTTCAGTAAGAAAAATTCTCTGGTTGCATTCTTAATCTTAATCTCGTAGTTAAATTAATGTTCAAAATACATCAAGAATATCCTAAAGATGTCGTGGTATCTTTAGTCTGTTCCTAGATTTTGAACATTTCTACTATGGGTAGAGACTGTTTTGTAATTTAATTCTTTTATATTATATATATTAGTAATTCTACTTAGTTTACAAGTCTATATTGTCTACGTAGCAAAAAGACCATGTAAACATCACGTAGATTTTACGTAAATAATCCGTGTAGACGTAATCTTTAAATCTACGGCACAACCCTGCTTAATTCTAACGAGACTCACATATATTCATTTCTTTATTGTACAGACGGGGACACGAATGCCTTAACACTTGAAGTTGCACGTATCGAGCGTGTTCCAATCAGAAACGCGTCTTCAGAGCGCGTTCTAATGAGAAACGCGTTCTTCTCTCATTGTGTAACTTCAAGTGTTAAGACATTCAATGTCCCCGTGTGTACACTGACTCTGCCTTCATTTCGAGCATATAACCTGCCTATAACCTACCTAACTTTTCCACGTAATAAACCATTGAGTAAAAAGACACAGGAGAGAACATATAGTTCTGAGCAAAAGGACGGAAGTGCTATATATAAGAAAGGTCGCTCAAAATGGCCGCTCAAGTGTCTTTAAAATTCATTGGTTTGCGCTGTTCCCCCACTTTGCGCTGTTCTTCTACTTCGTCAAAAGAAAGGTCGCTCAAAATGGCTGCCATGACGTATTCCGTCCCCGACTCAGCCTACCTCCACTACCGATACCTTCTCTCCTGTGTCTTTTTACTCAATGTAATAAACGTTTTGGTAAAGGTAAATTGACAGCATTAGTCGCCATGTTGAGATTAAAATGGATAACGAAATCTGTAATTATTTCATTTTTTCCCGTTTTTGGTACAAAATGCACCAGAGCCAGATACATTAGCATGTGTGTTTTAATCGTGGAAAAGGAAATTTTATTCTATGCGATTAATACAAAGTAATTAGTAACCAACAAACATGGTATTTTTGTCGGTAAAACAGACGACTATAGCATTCTCTTAAACAACGCATTACTTTTTAAAATCAGTAACGGTAACTCAGACAAAAATGATCGGTCAGTAGACGTCGAATCAACGATCATTTCTGCCTGGAAACATGTTACTTTGTACAAAAAATGATGGTAACGATAATGCTTTTTTAAAGTAACGTCCCCAATTCATACATATATACATCACGTATATACAGGGTGATTTTTTTAACCTGAAACTTTCAAATATCTCGAAAAATAAGCACACTAGGAAAAAATGTTTCAGACAAAAGTTTTCGGATTTTGAGGGGGACATAAGATGATAACATTGGTTTGACCCTGAGTGGCGTCGTTAAGGTCAGGACAAGGTCACTTTAAATTTTTTCAATGGAACCCCCAATTTTTCATTAGATGTTCTTATAGCCTCGAGAACTTTCCACAACACATAAATAAAATATTTTTTTATGAAATAAATCTTGAGTTATGAAGCTTGAAAGTTGGAGTACTGTTGGCATTAGCATCCAAGGTGTCCAAACACTAGCTAAAGATGGCCAAGGTCATTGGCCTTTATCAATGTCATGATCCTGAACAACATTCAAAAGGTTTTAGCTAGTGTTTGGACACCTTGGATAATGCTAATGCCGACAGTACTCCAACTTTCAAGCTTCATAACTCAAGATTTATTTCATAAAAAAATATTTTATTTATGTGTTTTGGAAAGTTCTCGAGGTGTGCTATAAGAACATGTAATGAAAAATTGGGGGTTCCATTAAAAAAATTTAAAATGACCTTGTCCTGACCTTGACGACGTCACTCAGGGTCAAACCAATGTTATCATCTTATGTCCCCCTCGAAGTCCGAAAACTTTTGTCTGAAACATTTTTTCCTAGTGTGCTTATTTTTCGAGATATTTGAAAGTTTCAGGTTAAAAAAATCACCCTGTATAGCGTAGAGTCCTAGATTATCAGAGAAGCGCGACCGGTTACGAGTTCGGATTGGAGTCGCAAATGGCCAATGATATGATTGATTTATCGGTATTATAAATGGCTGCCGAATAAATCAATCTTATTGGCCATTCGACGCTATTTTTAGTACATTTTAATATTTTCTAGTACTT